GCACACTCAGCACTATGGCCCATATAAAAGGGGTACAGCATGAAGCGTTCGGCGTTGATCAATCCCTGAGGGATGCGCCAGGCATGTCTTCGTCAAGAATGGCTAGAGGTGTGTGAATGAGTGCACGCGTCGCCCTGCAGCGACTTGCAGCGGCCTACCGATCTACCAAGTCAGTGTTTTAACCCTCCTAAACAAGTCTAGTACGAATTTTTAGAGATTAGAGGGATAGAGGTTTGGTGGTCCTAGGGCGCGACATCGAACCAATGACCACTTGTGTATCGCAGGGCACCTCTAACCGAAACTGCACACCCACGAGGTCAACAATACAAACCCCAGAGAATCTCTTAAATTCAGGTATTGAAAACAGTAGACGAGCCTTGGTAGCAGCCCACAAATATAGGTCATTATATTAACAAACGAATTGCTAGTCTGATAGAGTTGTGAAAACGAATAGGTAACGTTTTATGTGACATACATTCGAAAGTGGAAAAACTCGGAAAACCAGATAAACAGCAAAATGTCTTGAAATGATGCATCGCCAATGTTCGATATTGGAACGGACCATCTCCACGACTATACAGTCTCCAGCGCCACCTCTACTTAACTAGTATTCTACTGGTTAGCACGATTTTTATAAAGTTCTGAGATAACTGCGCTAGACATCATCAGAGCCAGTGGTCCGAAGTTCGTGATCTTCAGAACAAATTTCTCTCTCATAACAGCAGCATTTGCACACACAAATTTCCTCTCAGTTTCAGTTTAAGTATGCAAACCGCCATATTTCGGTTATTCTGCAAATAGCATGACATCACTAATATGAATCGACGGTCGACACCCAGAGACACTTTTAATCACGATCATGCGGTAAACCATTGCGGAAGTTAAGTATGATAACAAGGGAAAAAAAAGTGATGAGACGAAATAAAATACGGAGAATTTATATGAATACCAACATTGCCCACATAAGAACTTACAAAATACTGCGCTACGAAAATTGTTAAAAAGCACGTGTAGCGCAGTGGTCGGAGGGGGCCTCTGATACAAATGGAGTCGATCCACGTGCACCAGGCTCAACACGCCTTATATCCTTCCGAGCTCGGTAGACTGGTATCACACTTGTCTAGGAGGATAACAGCATTGGCTCGACAGATCGCTAGCCACCGCAAGTCACTGGAGAGGCCAGATATGCATTCAATCCCCTCCATCGACCCTTGATGAAGTCGAATTCATGGCGCATCCCTCAGGAATTGATCAACGCCGAGAGTTTTTATCTCCTTTTTATAAAATTTGTTAACTCGCAATGGAAAGAAAGAAAGTGGATACATAGAAACGTGCATATGTGCTACGATTACACTAATTGGATTTTTCAAAACACTAAGGTATTGCTTGTCCAAAGTCTGTAGAACGATTCATCGACTTTACCTCGTTTTCGATCAACTTCATCTGCCACAACGTTTTCTGGTCATGAACGTTGCATGTGTTCCTCATAAAAACTTTGAAAACCGGTTCGCAAGCACCACTCCGCTCAATTCCAAACGAGTATTCCCAAAAACACATAGGACCAGATGTGTACGAGATGGGCGTTCCGTGGTAGTTTACTCACTGGAAACCAGAAATTAATTGAAAAACTTGTGAACGTATCCCATATACAAAGTCCTTTAGAGAGCAGTGTTTTTCACCTTGCTAGTTGTTCCCTACTTATAGGGTCTGCAAGCTTCTTGTTTTCGCCATCCTTGCCTTCCACACATGGAACAAATCCGACCTCGTCATTATAGTAAGCTTGGGTTTTACGAACTAAAGAACTGAACGAATAAATAATGTTCTCGATCTTATCCCAACAGTCACTTTGCCATTACGTCACAGTAACGCAAAAGAGTACGTTTTCTCGGTGAAGCAGAACACTATCAGCAAACGACTGTGCGTAGCTTCTGTCACCCCCAAAAACTTTCTACTACTTTACTATGAAATTTAGAATGAAGGCAGTGTTGAAGTCACCCGTTCAGGTGCTAACACTGAATTCCCGTTCCATGACGAACATGTACATGCGGTGCGCACAGTTCCCTTATGCTTCGAAATAGCCGTTCGTTGATTATGATAAAGCAGTCAATACGTACGTAAACACATGGCAAATAAACCTTTTCCAGTAGTCTTAGGGATAGACGAGATAGAATGCAGGCATTACGGAAGAGATTGCTATGCATTAAGCGTGTTACAAAATGGGGCATACGGTCTACAAATTATGATTACAAACGAATTTCCCAGCAAAAGTTTGTTGCTTCCATGGTTACTGTATGCTTTTGTGGAAGTTATTCCTTGGCTTGTTATCTGGTTGCCTCAACAAATATCTCACGGTGACTTTAGCCTAGTTGAAGAGACTCCCTAAAAATAAAAGAAAAAATTCCATCAGTATCTTTCGTTAGTTCGTATTTGAGATACTGCAACGTAAGCCAGTTCGAATATCACCAAGACGCAGTGTCAGGAAGGCAGTTCTGAGCACATGATGCGCAAACGGTCGTGAAAGTTCCATGCCAGAAATAAGTGCCTCTACATGACGATGGACGTTGTAAGCTGCCATCAGCAGACGACGACAAGCCGAATATGATCATCAACGTTAACATGAAGATTTATCCCATGCTTTGAAACAGAACTCAAGGTTATATAATCAGCATTCGTTTCTTATTAGAAAATTGTTGCAACGGTAAAAAAGCTCGATAAACGTGAATCGATGAAAAATCAAAGAGATCGCCATTTTCAACTCTGTGTTGTCTCAATGCTGGACGTGGCATCCTGTTAATGGAGAGTACCATAAAGAAATAAGCCAAATCAGAGTAAATCGACGGTTTTGCCTAACCGATGCCACTCTTGTCCCAAAATTCTATACAAGAACAGCCTATCGCCGCCTTTATGCAAGATTTCATTTTCCTCAGAGAGAAGAAAAAGAAGCTAAATTAAAAAGTCGAAGTCTCAAAACTACCATAAACTGGGATTTATCCTGTTCGTTAGTGGGATCTTAAGAAGATGCCAGTCTTGATAATATCGACTTATTTGTTGGTCGGTTTATGCAACATCTTCATGATAGCGCTATGAAAGCTGGTAGTTCGAAAATCACCAAGAGACTTATGTTTTCAGAAATATTCGAGTTGGTGTGCCAGCGTGGAATAGCACGAGCAATAGGAAACCCCAACTATGTCCGAACTTGCAAAACAGTGGAGAGAGGCGATAAAGGAAGATCTTAAAGAGAGAAGATCACAGCATACGGTCGAAGCGGCAGAAGCGGAGAAAAAGCGCTCTCATAGACTAACGAAACTTCGCCAACTACAAAAGCAAGATGATTTCACACCGAAGCCCGGATGTAACTGTTACAGCTTCTAGAAAGGCAAGCGAAAAAATCATTCTCGATTACTACTCGGATTTCTTCAAGAGCAATGCCCTCCAGCCTTCATACGCAACAAAGGAGGAAAATATCGTCAAACCAGTTGTACTTCCGAAATTCGGCATGCTGAATAGTCGGTGAAGAAAAGAACAATATGATGAATGACTTAGATCCAGAGTTGAGGAGAAGCAAGCGTGCGGCTATTGGGGAGCTTCCAAGAGTGTCGAGGATGTAGTGTAGGGAACAGAGAACACCCGACACCGTGTCGGCCTTTCTAACTCCATGAGAAACCTAGCTGCTACGTAAGTAGGATGGAAGATAACTCGGAGTTATACAAACGCGCATTCAAAAGGACGATGTTAGGATTATCTTTTGTCACACAAATCAGTGAAGGGATCCGATGCTCCGACCTACGTCAACAATCAAAAATCAAAGACACCGTTCTTTGCGTCAAACTGTCAGGGTAGGGTGGGTCAACCATGTAATGCGCATGAACGATAAGTGATGGACAGGAACCGTTAGTGAATGGATTTCGCGAAATGTCAAGCATAAAACAGGAAGACAGCGGACCCTGGTCAGAGATTTCCACGAAAATCCTAGAAGAATGATATGATGCTGAAAGAGTCCCTGGAGCGACAAGAACTTAAAGGGCTGCCCTTCACGCGATAGAGAGAAATGAGGCATTATCTGCCAACCGCTCGAGTCATTCGATGATGAACAGGAAGCCATAGGTAAAACAGGTGAAAGGACTGGACTTATTTCAATACGGCGGAGGTTCATGCGTATTAATTCATGTGCGGTTGGACGTGTAGGCCTTAACAATGAGGTCGTTCTACAGTATGGGTAATTCTGCCAGAGGATGTGTTGTTTCCTTTTTATTGCGGTTTGACACCAACGAACACCATATCACCGTGGTGGAAAAGCGAACTGTAAGAGAAAGACTAATGATGAATTTAACTCTTGAATTCTGAAGTAAGATGACTTCAACTTACATGTACAGGCTGCGTGACCAAGGTATACTTTTGCAGAGCGACTTCAATTTAACTTACAAAGGGGTAATCTATGTCTTGTTTAATAAAGCCGATGCTTTAAGGATACACTGGAACGAGGTTGTCACAAAGCTTCGGCGCCTTGTCTTTCTCTGAGTCACAGTGATTCCGGTTGATTGGACATGAGTGAATTTTAGTCCTCCATAGCATGTAATTCCTATTTCTAGAGGTTTTCTTTCATCGACACACGTAGCTATAAAGAAAACGATAGAACAAGTAGTGTATCGAGGAAAAGATGACGATCACAAATACACCTTGAATGCATGCTGTTATTGCGTTTTCGGAGAGAAATCTGACAAACAAAAGTCCGTTTTCAATCTCTATGAAAGTATGATTGCAAAGAAACCCAAATTAAAACAGCACTTTGGTGAAATTATAAGACTTCCCAGAGCGATAAGGTACAGTCCGTTCCAAAGACTTGCTAGGTTCCCAATTCCTCAAGTGCTTTCCTTAGCTGGATACATGGACCGCCCGACTTTACTGGCAGTGCGACCTCAACATTCCGTAGTTCTGAAATCCTTCCCATCAGCGAATGCAGATGCTTGAGTTTAGCCACGAACGTCTCCTCCCCTGTCCAGGATGCATGTAATCTGTTGGAGTACACACCACTGTATTTTAGTATATGTCATTTCTTCCTCCTAGTAAGCAACCAGTCCATCCGTGTTTTGTATCGATGTATATTTTCCTGAATCCTGAAAATGGGATAGATTTTTACGATGAGATGCGCATTACGGCTAGATGATGTTAGTGTCCGCTTAATCTCAAAAGATATCGCCCATATGCTATGTGGGTGGCGCGCAGAGTTCTCAACTTAGTTGAAGCATCAGTCCATGTCTATGCTGAATAACAGATCGGTGAGACGACTGTCGAGTTCAATAGGTGAAAACGGAGTTCTGGATCCACTAATTGGTCGGCGGATCCATTAAGACGACCAAATCCAGGCCCATGCTGCTCTCCTTCTTCTAGCTAATTCATCGTCCGTGTTGTTCTCTATGTTCATTGAACGTCCAAGGTACACGCACGTGTCTGTCTAGTCAGAAAACCATCCTGTTCGATTTGTTCGCCCTCACACTATGGATTCTTCAACTGCGTCGTTCCCATACCTATGCGCAGTTCAATCTTTCTTTCCCGTCTCGTTGAGATCATGAGCATCTTCTCTGCTTCACTATTACTCCTCGAAAAGATTACGACGTTATCCGCGAAAGGAAATTTTGACAGGAATGTGCCATCAACCCGTATGTTCTACTCATCCCATTCGAATGACTTCATTCTGCACTATGATGCGGCAGTAAACAGCTTTAACGAGATGATGCTGCATTGTCGAACCGTTCTTCTATAGAAATAGTAAAGGGTCTATAAAGGGCTATGCTTTTGCGCCCCATTTCTGATAACATTCGGCTACAGTTCGCATATTGGACTAGTCCATTCCCTGGATGACGATTGCTGGATAAGACTGCAATTCTTTCGAAGCCGACAAACTGTTTCTAGGTGTGGTAAAGGTTAGGAAAAGAAGTACTCCCAACAGACTTCTGTGATCCGTGACATAGTTTTGGTATGGTCGATGACGCAGAATTCCTACAGGATTCCTGTTTGGTCAACTGACAACCTAACACGATGATTAGTTTCGGCACTTTCGCGAGTTATCAAAAAATATACATGCATCGCAAAAAACTGGGAAATCATCTCATGTAGTATATAACAATGAATAGGTTGTCGGATTTTACATTCTGGAATTTCTAATCCTAACTATCCGGCTACATAATCCTGCATCGCGGAATTTCTAATATGAAAGGTTAATTCATTATCGATGACAAAATTCCACTACAACTTCTACACTTAACACAATAACTAAACGAATTGTGTTACGATACCCCTCAACCAGCGTACTTATCTGATCTCTTACCAACCAACAACCACTTGTTCAAGCAACTCAACAACTACTTCAAAGGAAAATTGTTTTAGCGAAACTATTACTAAAAGCAAATCTCGAAAAATTTGTCGTCTTAAGATCGAAAGTTCTATGCCATTGTACCTCGTTGGCAAAAATGTTTACATTTCACTCGCTTTCATTCCGACCAAATAAACAGCGTTCGAGCCGAGTTATGGCATTTAGAAACTGTCCGAAATCATACTTTCAACATAACTTAATACCACATTCAGCATGAAAACCAGGACAAAATCATTCTCGCATGGTGATCAAGCTACAGTAATTTTTATACATAATGTCTAAATCGATGCTCTGTATTCTACGGAATTCTTACTAATCTTAGAAACAATTGGAAGGAGTCTTTTCTTCCAAAATTTTGAATGAACTGCTCTCCGCTAACGCGGCCTCAGTGGCCCTCGATGTATATGTATTTTGACTTTAATTACCACTACTAGAATTCAACACACAATCGTTGAAAACATTCAGACGATAGACACAGTATGTGAAAATTGCATGCTACACCTTCTGATCTATAAATGCAGAAAGCTCGTCTGCACCAATAAAATGACTAGTAAGAATTCCTATATAAAGAATTTTTCCAATTTTATGCACATCTTTAGCTGCGACACACAGCAGCAAAAAGGCCATTAGGGCCGACAAAACGCATTGTAGTAACTTTCATCGTAAAGGATCTTAGAACGTTTACGCATAACTTCCTTCAGCTGCGACTTGTAGTCGCACCTTGAACATCAGCGAACAAGAGTTGATGCTCCTAAAAACATCTTTCGAACAAGATACACAATATGATAAACTTTCCAACTGTAGAAAAGCAGAGCAGAAAACAAACACTTACAAACTTTATAATCTTTTACCGTTATAGCTGATTAAAATCCTTTATCTCAAGAAGAAAAATGCACGAAGATATCTATGCGTAACTTTTATTTATTGCTCATCTTTTTATGGTAGGATATAATGTGACATAGAAAAAAAAGTCGAACTGGAATATTCCCTGATCACAGAAACCACCTCTTTCGTGCACCTTGGACCTTCGACAAACATAGAGAAAAACATGAAGGAGGAATTAGATAGACGAAGGAGAGCGGCATGCGTCGCATTGGGGTCTGTAAATGAATCCGCCTAGAAACTAACGGACCCAGAACTCCGCGCTCACCTTTTCGGTTCAGTAGCCCTCCCAGCGCTCAGCAGTTCAGCAGCTGTTGTGCAGCAGAAACATGGGCTAATACTTGAATCACGTCTAGAAAACTGCGCACCACCCATAGCGATGCTTCTGCAATTTAACCAGCACTCCACAACGTCTAGTGGAAATGCGCTGCTCATATCTTGGAAACTTATCCCATCTTCGGGATCTAGGAGAATGCACATCAATAGTGAAACACAGATGGTCCAGTCACATAACGAACAGAACAGATGACAGATAAATGGAAAGAACAGTGGAGCGGACTCCAGCAGAATACAAGTATCCTCTTGGGAGACAAGCCAGACAATGGGGAGGGAGACGTGTTCGCAGCTAACGTCAAGCATCTGCACTCGAAGACGACAACATTCTTAGGATTACGAAATGCGTGGACATCACCATGTTCGGAGCAGACCACCACCATGGACGACGAGATTACACGATAGAGAAACGAATGAAAATTGTACTGGTACCCACACAACCAGTGAAGATAGGTCATATAAATATCGAAGTTTCCAAACATTTTTTTTCGAATCCCATCTGTGGTGTGAGTTTTGCAAGGATGCCTATTTTGATCGAACATTATCTGGAAATGACAGGTTCCATATCTTCAAATACTGTATCTAACTGATATTGTGGAAACAAACCAGTAAGTACGGAGCGATAATAAAACTTGGGGCAAAAAACTTGAGTTGATAAGATCTCATGCAAATAGGGCTCGTTATGTGCCATTACTCTAGAAAGTAAAAACATAGATAAGACAAGGTTAGAAAAATTTTTGTCCCTCCATTATTTTTGAAACACTAAGTAACAAACATTACAACATGAACAACATACAACATACAACATAAAAGTTGGGTAAAAGTGAGCATTATAAACGAACTTTAAAAAACCATGCTAAACCTCTTCGAATAGGAATCTATACTATAATGCAAGAGCGAGAATCAACATTTACTCGATGGCGTAACCTCTATAGGAGTCATAGGGTGCAAAAAATAGTGCCTGTTTCCAATCCTAAATCAACACATCTGAGCTCAAGTTAGAGGTTTACATTTCGAGCATGAAAGCAACAGAGGAGGAATTTGTCCAGTAGAACCCAATGGTGTTCCTGAATGTGTCGCTCATTTTTGCGGCTGCCACTCTTATTCTCAAAAATTGAAAACTTCTAAATTTTATTTGCAGTTTGGTGCAAGAAGCAGTGATCAGGGGTGTCTCACACACATGATCGTTAGTTCGATTCCATGATTCGAGTTCATCAAGTCATCGATCACTTCGATGTCGGCAAAGTGATGCCGCACTTGTCTGGAGGGATAGCAGCACTGGTGTGATATAACGGTAGACCAGCACAAGTCACTGCATAGGCCATACATGCAATTAGTCACCTACAACAATGCTTAATGAAGTCAAACGAAGGATTCACCACTCAAAGATTCATCAGGCGCAGAGCTTTACCCTTTTTACGCTTTAAACTTCATTTGGGAGAAAAGCAAAGTGGTTAGCGCTCACCAGGAAGCAAGGTGCTGGGTTAACATCGTCCCCAAAAGTCTTCCCAGTCTAAGCGGGTAACGCACTAGATCTGCTATACCCAAGATTGCAAGAAGAATCGACTCCACCAGCATTCTACGACATTCATGAAGAAGATCACAATCATCACCCCGCAATCAAACACAAACCCTAATGTTTAATAACGTTCGCAGGTGATAGATGCGACGAAATGATTCGAATACAAGAAGTGCCGGTATCCACACAGTAGATGTAATTAGGGGATAAGGATGTGGCATTTTACTTTTTTTGAAAATCCTAAATCTAAAATTATTATATAGAACATATTATGTAAAAACTACATGCACGATTAATTCGATGGATCAAAGCATTTTTAGCAAGCTATAAAGTCCTGAATCCCGAAGTCACGGATATCCGTCATAGAGGAATCTCATGCTAGTTAGTCGCGAGGTAATATGGAGCGCCCACAGAACACTGGTATGTTTTGGACAAGGCGCTGATTGGACAGAAAAAGTACAACAGAAATCACCGATGAGAATGAAAAGGTATCACAAATAATAAGTTATCAGCAGTTCAAGTCGAGCGATCTGTTTCCCATCTTCGTCTACAACGGAAAATCCTCTCGTGTTGGACCACAAGTGTTAGAAGGCAGAGTAAAAAAAAGTGTAAGCGGTTTAGTGAAGAAATTTCACAGCATTACATACATGGCAGTTGACATGTTTTACTACAGGGTTGGAATAAAGAAATCCTTTCTAAGTAGTTCACAGGTGCTCGCTTCTAACATAATTAACAACAGCCATATATCATGATCCACTCACCACACAGAAGTACCTTTCTAGTGCTATGCAAACTCAACCTATGATCTGACCCCATTTGCAAAAAAACATCAGTAACGGTATCATAACGGTGAATATGGCTTAGGTCACTTCATCTCGGTCACCAGTGATAAGCACAGTTCTATAGAATCAGAAAATGCAACCATTAAGACCTAAGTAAAAAAAAATCCCCTGCAAATCCCAAATACAATAGGTTGACCGTTACAACGGCAAAATAACGAATCTTAAGAGACGTAAAAAAATGGGAATGCTATTTTTGACTGCTACTAGTAGTGAAAAAGATACCTGAAAACGAAGAGAAACACGTTGAGTCATCTTGAGGTACTTGTCGAGACAGTTAATACTGCATTTCTCTTCCTTCTCACTTATGCTCCTACAAATTCAAGTTGCCTGTGGCCAGTTCAATAGAGACAATTATTGCAAAAAAAGGTGTACCGGTGACATCTAAAGATGGAACAGACATTTCACTATTAGTTTAAGATATCTTACTTACTTGATACTTGACACCTGATTGCTCCGCTCTCACTGGTTCTGCGGGCCTCAGCATAATCTACACTTTTCTGAGATTTGCTGGTTAAGCCATTGTGGTTCTCTGGAACCCTGAGGTTAGTCTGGCCAAAGCCTACCACAGCTGTTCACCACCACAGGCAACCGAAGGCCTTCTGGATTAGATGGAGATTTGCCACCATGCGACTTTGATACTAGGACGGTGGTGGATCCTGGTATTGGTTTACTGATAGCTAGGCTTGCTGATGGAAACGTCGGACTCCTCCTCAGCTTAGGAGACCCTACCATGGGATGAATCTCCCTTTGCACATCCCAGTCCGACACCCAGGAACACCTCCCAACCACGATGAGGCGGTAAACCGTTGGCAGGTTTAAGATATCTTATTTTATAAATGCTGTTGCAAAGTAAAGTGCAGTGAAACTGGCGGAAAACAGGCTAACCTTGCAGTAAGGTCGTTGACGCAGGCACCAAAGCACTGTTCCGTAACAGTATTGTACTGGGTAAGGAAATCTCGGAATGCCTTAAGATCCTTGTCGCCAGCATTTGGTGCGGCCATCAAAGTAATGCGCACTAAAAAATAATCTATTTAGACATGTATATAATATAACAGGTGACGATACATGACACTCTATAGAAATGGGAAATGGTAGCTATGTGCGCAAGGAAGAAAAGAAAACTTGGAGTTCAGAGTATCAGCAGCACTTCAATAGCAACACTCTCAGAAGTCGATGAAAAATTGAAAAGATAGTAGTCAGGAATGAGCAGCATGAATCATAACAAAACGAGGAACAAAATTTTATTCACACACGTACTGACACCGTTGATCGCCCGTAGGGCGGAACTGTATTATATATGAACGCTAACAAATCACAATGCAACAATATCTTTATAAGGAAGCATCGTTTAAAATACATCGTACTCCATTATAAAGACTTCAAGATTTTGTGAGCCGCCTCCATCGTTGCATCGGTCTGAAATTATCATGGAACGAAAAATGTTCTTCTATAAGAGAAATTAAACTTAGTTTACCAAAATGATCTTACAGCCGCCAACTTCTGCAAAAGATAAATGAAACGATAATTATTAAATTGTGGAACATGCGCGCTGCGGTTCACTTTCAGTAAAAACATTAACCTGAACATAAGGAATACTTTGGTTACTCTAGCACACTTAGAACAAATATTCACATCATAGTCCAAGAAACACACTAATAAGCAAAATTCTGAACAAATTTTGAAGGATTGATCCAAAAGGATATAAAATTGGACACGTTTCAAAGAATCACGAAGAAAGAAAACCTTAGAATAGGTATAACCGATTGCTCTTTCGTCAGAAAAATGGATATCCACGCAAAGGAAGCAATGAGGCTAATGACGGCAGAAATTTCAGCATCAGATTGTAATTTTTCATTTGCGCCAAATGCGATACTAAATAGTTGATGTTTATTCCTCTATAAGCGTCGTCCAAACTGGGAGTTTGACAGTTGCACTTGAACGCCCAACTAAGCGTACACCAACGCTAAGGCAGAGATAGAAAATTTACACGTGGATATTTCAACGTTTAGAATAACAAGACGAAGAGCCTTGAAAAAAATGTGTGATGCTTCCCATGGTCGTTGAACAAGTGAAGCCCACTGATCACCTTTGGAGAAAGCTGGTGTCACACTCAGATACAGAGAAGTACTGCGGTGAAGATCACACCTTCTATAAATTCCTTCTTCATAGAAACCATAGAACTAAAGAAATCTAAAATGCGGCTTTAACGAATAGAACACCACTGGCTTTCCCAACACAGGGTACAATAGTGATTCTTGAAAGTGCACAGTTCGAGGAAGCGTTCAAATCCCATTTCAGGACTTCGTAAATTTTAAGAGCAAGATGACCGCTCTCTGGTACACGGTCGTACTAGACATTAGGTAGGCATTTAGGCTACGCGCAAGTTATTTGTGGATTAAATCATCGTAAATGTCTTAAGTAAGTCATACAGGAAACGAGTTGTACATAACTATTGTGCCACCCACATTTAACGAGATAACATGCGAAAAGTTTGTCTTGCGCAATAAATCGGTTAGCATAAGATAGGCTTCTAGGAATGCAGCTCTGTACAAGAACACCATGACAAAAGAACTTCTTGACGTAATTTAGTGAGAAATTGCAACCATTTTCAGTGTTACAGCAAATCATGTTGTGACGTTGGAAAGAGTATTACTGTTCTACCTTTCAATAACAACGATAATACTAACTAGAACTACAGAATACGCTCACCTTCATGAAACAAAGTCGAATCATATTTTGATTTGAAGATTTGTTTTCTCTACTGTAAAACGCCGATGGAGGAATGACGGCCAGTTTCTGAAAAAGAAAAAACAAGACTAAAAACAGGCCTAATTTGTATGTTTTTCTTTCCTGGAGCTGATCTTTAGAGAAAATGAAAACTAGAGCAGGATATAGTTTCAGAAAATTAGCTCGAAAACTAACGCTTTTCACTAGTTGGATCTAATTCGATATTGATTAAGCAGACATTTTTGACACACCTCAGAAATGTATCGATATTTGTTAATATTAACGTATACATGTAACGAAACTACAAGACAGACTAATTTCAATGCATTTTCTTATTTTGTTTTCTCTCTCATTCGTTGTGCACTCTTTGACTAGTCAATAGCTTCCAAAACTCAGATGGCCCAGTAGGGACCGCAAAAGTTAAAAACTTGCAGTGTGGAAGTTACTAAAATATCCCAACGGATGTGTACAGTGTAGGCCCTAATCAATGTACTTTCCATACTCTCCGTAGCAAGAAACACCATAGGCAGTCATAACTTTGGGTTTAAGTATGTGGCGATACAAAGAAAGAGGGTTCGTGAACACTTCTACGGAAACAAGGAACGATGTTCGTTGGGCTCAGTGCACATCGCGCGCAACCTCAAGTTAGGCGTCGTCCTCTGTAGAAACTATAGAACATCGCGATTTTCTCAAAGAGCAAAAACCAACATCAAGTGACAGAACCATGAACAACTCATGGAGTTCAGTAGAAAAAAACAACTGCGTTGTCGACTATGACCAGCACAATCCAAGAATAGCAAACAAATGCGAAATACGCTCTAATTTCTATTTAAAACACCACGTATACCTTTTCTCTACACAACCATCTAACAAAACGGTAGTCGAGAGGATCATTTGAAGCATCAGGAACTTTGAATGGTCCATCTGAACGAATGCTGAGAAATCACAGAAATATAAAACCAAAAGGAAGAACACTTACATTAGAACGAAACGAAAAGTCACACCTAATTTTCCGAAGCGAGCGATCATAAAGTAGCCTGCGTCAGGCATGATTGGGTCAAAGCCTCCCTCGTGTAACATCTTATACATTTGTTCACACTTTGTTCGCAATTCATTCGGAAGACCAGTGAGAAGATACGATTGACTTGGACTTTTAGTGAATAAATCAAGCCTGCAAACGTCAGGAAAGCGAAGATGAGAACTCAAACACAGAAATTATGAAATAAACCAACTCCTTCTCAAAAGCAGTTGCAATAGCCTCCTGTGTTGGTGTGCTGCATGTGAAGACACAATTCTGGTGCATCATCTGGAAGATAGATTATATGGTCCATTTAGGGCGCATGGGAAACGCAAAACAGTAAGTACAAACCCTAATAGGAGTCATGAGATGCTTCGGTGCAATGCACCAACCCAACTTCCAACCGGTCACCGAAAACGCTTTGCCGGCACTTCCAATAGAGATCGTTCTATCATACATCCCAGGAAGGCTAGCTGCAAAAAATCTAATCCTTGAAAGGCGACGCTCTAGAAAGCTACTGGCATGAGGAAAATGAAACAGATTACCGAAGCGAATCATCTGTTTGCCCCACACATGCCACTCGTATACCTCGTCAGCCACAACAATTAAGTTAAAATCACGAGCCAATTGAGCAATATTTTCTAATTCGTCCCGCGTGAAAAGCTTTCCCGTTGGATTGTTGGGGTTGTTTAAGACCATCATCTAAAGAAAACAAAAACAAAAAATAAAATGGTGACTAGATTTGAATAAGCCGTGGGCTGGAAACCTACTTTTGTTTTCCCGTTGCACTTTGCACGCAGCTGCGCGATGTCAAGACGGAAATCGTTACTTGTCTTCGCTTGCTCCAACACAGTCATAGCGCAGTGGACTGGAACGCCTCCGGCCATAAGAACTTGAGGAGCATAACTATCATAAGCCGGATCGATTACTGCAATATAAGGACAAACTTGAAATCAAATTAAACAGCTCATTTGTTCAGAAAAACCAGAAAAAAACGCGATGATAACGCTTTCTTCTTCCGTACACCTTACATGACCATATAAGTAATAAGAGACATTCAGACAAAAACGAAGCTTCCAGATGTTGGTACTCACTTTTTCAATTCATTGAGTCCTAGCACAACGCTTCCATAACTTCCTTTGCTTTTTAACTTCGCAACGGATACCATCGAAGTCTTCAAATATCAAAAGTACCAATGTGTGAGCACATGAGTGAACATAACAGAAACATAGAAAATATAAGGAAACAGGAAGAGTTCAAATCAAAACGACTAGATTGATGGGACCGGTGAATGCGAAACAGAACTAGAGGGACAGTAAGTCGTATCTTTGAAATTTACGAGGTTCACAATAGAATGCAAGAAGGGTAGAGAACGACGTTGCTATAAAATTTCATTATATCATAATATTACTATTTTTTCCATATTTTATCAAAGAAATCCAAGCATCATGGAGGCTTACTCAAAACCTCATCTCCATGGTTAACGAATCCAATGAATGAATAGTACAACGCTAAACAAGCGCCGACAGTAACAACAACCTAAATTCGAGGGGTGAAAATATTACATTAATACTTATTTTGGTTAACAGTAGTAGACCGTACAGACAATATTTCCCACCTCACCGTCCGCAATGATCTGCCTTGAATAAAACCACTATATAACTTCGCAAGGACGTTAACAAGATGAGGATGCCCAAAGCTTGAAATAACTGATGATAGAACATGGTAGTAGTTCCAGACACAAAACAGCAGACGGAAACTTAACTCGGGTGTACTGATGCCATCCTTTCTTCTCTGGATGTGCAGCAACCTCTCTCAGTATATCAGACACGAACATGGGCACAGGCCCGTCCAGAAAACCCTGAAAAAAGTATAGTTTGCGCCGGAAATGAACATAATAAGGAACTCAGCACTTCGTAGAAAGTAGTTTAAGCAAGATATGGGAAAAACTCAGAGTTAAAACTGATCAGAGGTACAAACCTGCCCAAGATTTACAGCGCTACGTTCGGCTGCGAGAATTGTGAACTCTACACTGGAAACAAGAAAATCTATTGGATGTTGCACTGATAATGTCAGAATGCAAGGAGTCACAGCAAATAAAACAAGAATAAGTTTGGGCTTTGCAAAACCGAAAGTGTAGCGTGTTTTTGACAAGGCTTACAAACCCTTTCAAAACCACAAAGTAAGAGATCCATAGTTCAATTGTAAAACAGTACTACTTTAGGAAGATTTTTCTTCTAGTTTCCAGTTTCTCTCTAAAAGATGTTATATAGGCGAAATACATTCTGACATAAGATGGGTGCAACTTCAGTGGCTACTACTTAAGAATATAATGAATCTACTTCTTACTGAAGAAAAAAGAACAGACCAAATATCGGGTATAGCAGACCGCACGCGTTCCGCAGGACAGAAGGCGGTTGTCATCTGGTGTGCTACCCTCGTGAATGAGCAGAGTCGACAGATGAACGTCACACAATGACGGCTTTGGTAACGCTGATAACGCGGAAGAGTAATCGCTTGGGCTTAGCAATGCCTGACGTAGTTCTAACGAACCGCGCATAAATCCTCAGGTAGATTCTCGTTGAGTAATAAGCAGAACAATTCTGGAACCTGGAAAAGTTGCACACTCAGCACTATGGCCCATATAAAAGGGGTACAGCATGAAGCGTTCGGCGTTGATCAATCCCTGAGGGATGCGCCATGCATTTGTCTTCGTGCTACCAAACTTATTCTTGTTCTATTTGCTGTGACTCCTTGCATTCTGACATTATCAGTGCAACATCCAATAGATTTTCTTGTTTCCAGTGTAGAGTTCACAATTCTCGCAGCCGAACGTAGCGCTGTAAATCTTTTGCAGGTTTGTACCTCTGATCAGTTTTAACTCTGAGCTTTTCCCATATCTTTCTTGAACTACTTTCTACGTAGTGCTGAGTTCCTTATTATGTTCATTTCCGGCGCAAACTATACTTTTTTCAGGGTTTTCCGGACGGGCCTGTGCCGATGTTCGTGTCTGATATACTGAGAGAGGTTGCTGCACATCCAGAGAAGAAAGGATGGCATCAGTACACCCGAGTTGAGTTTCTGTCTGCTGTTTTGTAATGATGTTCTCAAGGCAGAAGAAAACCGCGTCGCTTTACTTCACAAGTACAAATCTCGGCATGCCTACACGGATACAACCGGAAATTCCAAAGTGGTTCAACAAAAATTGCGCCAGAGAAAAGAACCTTGATGAAAAAGTAGCTCATAAAGACTTAATAGCTGTTGATGACAACGATCCCATAGCGATAACTGGTGCTGACGAACTAAAAGAACGACTCGTATGAAGTGCTGAGATATTTGCAACACTCCGGACCACAGGTGTATGCAGTGGGGAACGAACACGCGCTGTTGTCCTTACCGGGCAGCAGCGCACTTCACCACTACACCATCCGGGTCTAAAAGAACGACGCAAGACATTGTAGAAAAACTAAGTTTGGCTAGTCAACAATCCTTAGTCACGTTTACACTTCTATTTATTTCCTTTTATATTTTCATCGCAAATATTATTTGACGTACAACTAAAATGATGCTGAGATATTTGCAAAACTCGGAACCACAAGCCTGCTTCGAACCTGGGATTACTCTGCTGGGGGTCACGTGCTACCTACTGTATTATCGAAGCCCTTGCCTTGCCTTTCACTCAGCTAGTTTTTTACCCTGACGGCGCTATCAGCAACCATTCGTCAACGGGTACCATCTAGCGAGGACAAATCGGCATCGAATTCAGTTAAGCTGAAAATGCAGAACGAAGCTGAAAAATTTGTTTATGAAATTCGTGGGGACAGAAACGACCAACTAACAATTTGATCGATGTAAGCAAAGCGGATAACCAAGAAGGTTTTTTTTGCTTATCTTTTCTGTGTGTAACTGGTCCGAATGAGAAGGATTTGAGTGATTACCTTAATTTTCTGCGTAGGATAAGTGAGTAATGTCTTGATGAGAATCACAGTAACTGAGATAACTGACAAATAATGTGATTTTAGGCGATTTGAACCACTAAATTTTAATGGGTTTGATGACCTACTGAGTTATCCATTGACTACGCTTTTCAATTCATTGTGCAGATTATGTTCGTGCTGTTCCGACGTGTCAGAATCCGGTTTAAGCAGTAGTGACCACAACCTCTTGTCTTGTTTATTACGATGGCAGCGATCGGCAGCGAAGGAATGTTTCAGCTTTAATTTCCGTAAAATTTTAACCGAAAAATCGAAATGAGTAAAAAGAAGATGTGCCAAGGAAAAAAGAACGGTAGGTAAACATAAGATATAAGAGAGATGTCATCATAGTGCATTTAGAACTGAAATATATTTCTAACGAAAGCGTGAAACTAGGCAACAGATCACATTGAGCAGATGTAGGAAACATTTTAAACAAGGTGATGTACAAACAGCGGTGGGAATATCGCACATGAGATGTCACGACGAAAATACTATGAAGATGTCTGTTAGAAAAATAGCATGGGGTCACTTGACGACATTTTATGCGAAAGTGCGACTGGGCTCATTGGTCCTTTGCCATTTACAGATATGTCATCCAGATAGTGAGCATACTGAAAAGCACATTTTAGGGTAATAGTAGAGCAGAAGACTGTTGATAATCATCATGTTCCAAGTCTGCTTCAGCTGGATGATGGCATCATGTTATATCATATTTTTTTAAATGAAGTTACTTTTCTCCTTAGGAAGCAACATGGTTAAAATTCAAATACATTACGAGTAGTTTCGTATTCTTTTCAGTGTGTCATTCAAAGAGGGTACTACAGTTTCACATCAAGAAAATTGTTCAATGCGTTCACGGGTATCAGGAATAAAGGATAAAGGAGAAATCTATCCGCGTTGATCAATGCCTGGTGTGTTCGTCATGCATTCCACTTCATTAAGCATCGTTAGAGGTGATTGAGTGCATGTCTGGCCTCTACAATGAATCGCGGTGGCTTACCAATCCATCGAACCTGTGCTGCTAATTTCCCCGTTCAAGTCTGGTACGAATTTACAGATCCTAGAGAGATAGAAGGCTTGGTGAGCCTGGAGCGCGGAAATCGATCCCGTGTGTAGTGTAGGGCGCCTCCGACCACTACGCCACACGCACCAGTAGCCAAACCATATTCGCTTTGATGCTAATGTCGTTCTTGCAACATGAAGCGCTAGGTAAATATAACGAATGCCGACAACTCTTGTGAAAAAATTGGTGCTTAGTCCAAGCTAAAAAACGTTGCTCATGTGAAATTGATTTGTTTAAGATTTCTGATTTACGCTCAACAAAACCGGTATATCTGGATGTTATATGTATACACTTCTGATTTGAAAAATCAGCGTGATGAATAACGTAACTCTACTGCTGGTCAAGAGCAATTGAGCCGGCTAAGAAGGACGCTTGGAATAACATCACGGAAGTGTTGAACAGGGCAAAAACTAGTTCCGATCTTATCCTTCCATGATTCTTTCTGCCATAACTTATGACTCGGGAAGCTCTATATAACTTAAGCAAGACAGATACTGTTGCATAGGCAAGGGTTATCTTGTCAGGTGGCCCAGAGACTCCAGCCGTTTTAATGATAACCAGTAGACAAGAGCTGTTGGCGACTGGGTCCCACGACGTATCAAGCGCATAGCAAGAACATCAGTGGGTAAAAATTAGGAAACTCCTGGACCGACTTTCTGCTAACTTCGGCACTAATCGGTAAGTCACTGCTTTCTTGTTGAGCAAACACGACTTTGTTCTTGCACTATTTATTCGCAATAACTGACGTTTTGATGGTTTCGCATTCTTTAGATCTTGGAGATACCAAGTTGACGTAGAATCTTGTTAACCAAGCGCTTTCGTAACGTCAACAGACAAAACTCGATTGATAAATTTTATTTGTGCTGCTAATCGCTTCTTTAAACACTCACCCTTTTTTCTTTACAAGTCTTCCAGTTTTCGTTGGAAGCCAGCCCCATAGAGTCCTACTTGGGTTTAGAATGTGTCAAGCTCAGGTCAAAAAATCAGTCTGAGGTATGCGCGAGGAGGTCACAGGTGCTCACAAGGGATCTTTCCTCCGGTTCATTTATGGATACGTGGAATCTACTGAAAACCTTTTAGCAGTTTTATGCTCTGATGCTATGTGTGAGATTAGTGATTTTTCCACGGAAATCTTCCCCGTTATATCTGCGTCGTATGTATGCTTAGTAGAGTATTTTGTTTGGCTTGGGTTTCTCGAGTAGGTGCTCTTTTAACACTTCACAAGAAGCCAAGCACATTGTGCCCAAACTCATGTAATCGTAGTCTCTACCGTTAAGGCAAATTATGCAAGTTTGTATTATACATAGGCAAGCGGTTAAGAAGTACCTGATTTTTGAGTGTTGCGTTTTTACTCATCATCGTCCAAACAACAAAACGGAGAAATTTTAAAAGAAGCTGTTTTTATGCAAATAAAGTTTTTCCTGTGTTAAGTCTTATCTGCTGAGGTTATAGAATTCTTTAGCGGAGTGCGAATTAATTCAAGCTTTCCTAGATCTGAGAAAACCGAAACCGCCTTTAGATCTGTTATTTTGAATAACTAGTATAATAACAACTTTATATCTGCTCATCTACGAAATACTGAATTAAGGAGAAGACCGTTAGGTTCCTCGACGACAACACTGACAGAAAAATTAGGTGCTTTTCGAGCTATCGAAATATATTGAGCTGCTCTTGCACAGAAAAAGAATGTAGAGCATTTTCCGGCTTCTGCTCAAATCATCAGATGGTCAGTAGGTCGACAGGTAGAATTCATTACGCAATCCTATACACCTTGATACTTGCCTGATGGTCTTCATTGGAAGTACGAGCTTATTCATGTTTGGCACTCGTATTTTTCTTGCGTCGTCCATTTTCGTCGTTTGCTTCAAACGCGGTGCAGATGGTTGACGTTGTCAACAAACATGTACGTTCAACGTTTATGTGGTCTTCCAAGGGGGCACCTGCATTCTCTTGGAGTTCATCTCACTGTTCTTTTCTCACATCTGTCATCTTTTCTCCTCACTATGTTACCAACCTATCTGTGTTTCGCTATTAATGTGCATTCTCCTGGATCCCGAAGATGGAACAAGTTTCGAAGATCTGAGCTACGCACATCGGCTAGACACTTTGGAGTGGCGGTTTAATTCCAGAAGCATCGTTCAAGCGCTCTGTGGATGATACGCAGATTTATAGATGCGGTTGAAGTACCAGCCCGTGTTTCTGCTGCATATCAGGGCGATGAGAGGACTGCTGAATCGAAAAGATGAGCGCGGCGTTCTGGGTCCGTTAATTCCTAGGTGGATTCGTTGACAGGCTCTAATGCGGTGTATGCTGCTGTCCATCTTCTATTTAATTCCGCCTTTATGCTCTTTTCCGTATTCGTTGAACGACACTAAGGTACACGTGCAGTATGATCTCAGAGATCCATCCAGTTCGATTTGCTCTCCTTCACACCATGGATTCTTAACTGAGTGCCCGTTCTCTTTATGCGCTGTCCTATTTATTTCCCGTTTAGAATCGTCTCTGCTTTTGTGGTATTTATTGAGATCATGATGTCGTCGTCGGCGAAGCAAAGATTTGGTGGAAATTTTCCATCAGTACGCATTTTTTCCTTTGTCGTCCCAATTAACTGCCTTCATTGTTGCCACTGCACTACTGCAGTGAACAGTTTTGGCGATATTGTATCATCTTATAGAACCTCATTTTTCGTGGGTATGGTAAAGTACCGATGAAAAGCTTTGTTCTTGTGCTGTAATTCCGATAATAGTCGGCTGGTTTTTGTATACGGAACAGCTTCACTCTCAACGAACGCTGAGAGAATCGCCTTCGTTTCGATGTAGTCAAACGGTTTTCGTAATCGATATTGGTTAGAGCAAGCAGTAGATAGTACTTCCGACAGACTTCTATGACCCATGAAACAGTTTGTACGTGGTCCACGCAACAGAATCCTTGTCGGAATTTTGTTTGCTGAACCGTTTGCGCCTCATTCAATGTCCTTGATACGCTCGATTGGAGAATCTTTGTGAAGAACTTGTAAAGCATACTCAGCAGGCTCGTCGTACGATAGCTACGACGATTCCTCCGGTCACCTTTTCTCAGGCAGGACACCGTGCACGACGTCCTCTACTGGTCTGGGATTTTTTCCTTTTGAAGGTAGGATATCATATGGGTTACAAAAAGTGAATATAATTTGTGGCCTGGAGCTCTGACGAATTCGGAGGTGATAATATTAATTCCTGGAATTGTGCTTGTGCACATGCCTTCAATTGCAACTATATCTTCATAGGGTGTAATCCTCGACGATTCTTCTCCGGCAAACTTCGGAGTCCGATACGAGGATTGTGGAACGGAATAGACTTTTCCTTTAATAATCCAATATTGTGGCAAAATGTAGTGGATAGTCCCCACTTGGTTCATCAGGCTGGAAAGTGGAACATTGTAGTCGTAAAAATCCCGACTGCACTTCTTCAGACTGCTACATTCTCGAGCTTCTTTCAATAACCTTTCTGCATACGCTGACGTATAGCGCACTGCAATGTTCTTCTATAGCGGTATTCACTATCAGGCGTGTTAGGTGTGTTGCAGAAGGATCAAGCTTAGGTGTCTTTCTCTTTTCGAGTAACTCCTTAGTAGTAATCCAGACGCGTTGTGAACTTCTTGTTTGAGGAGAGTTCGGCACAAGTCTTAAGTTCTTCGACAAACATTGTGTAGTCCTTGGTCTGGTCTTCATTAATCTGTCAGTCGAACGAGGATAGGATTTTATTGAGAATATTGTCTTCATAGATGACTTGTTTCGTTTTTTTTTTTGGACGGTGAGAGGATTTCTTTTCGATTATGGTTGAATCGAATCTTCGCACGCAGAAGGCTGTGGTCTGATCCAATGTAGAATGTAGGTACCACTGAAGTGTCAAAGAGGCACCATTTTTGCTCATAAGGATATGGCCGATCTCCGCATGAGTTGTGCTGTTGGGAGACTCCCATATTCATCAGCGACTTTTTCCGTTCTCGAAAAATAATTTGCCATGAAAGACACATATTTCGGACATGAGTCCTAAAAGACGGTTGCCATTCTCATTTCGTTTTCCTGTTTCGAATTTCCCTACCTTATATTCACTTTCGTTGGCCATGCTTAATCTGGTATTCAACTCCTCAATATTGAGTATATAGAAGGACTTTTCGTTGCGGATTACTTCCTCCAACTCGCTGTAGAATGCGTTCATTTCGTTTCACCACCTGTACAAGTTGGTAGCTGCTAATGCTTTCTTTTGACTTGGTAGCTGGAGACAAACAATGACCATGCGTCGTTATTTCGTACGAGATGACTGTATTGGAAACAGATGTGTGTACGACAGAGTCAAAACTTTCAATATTTTTCAGTCGGAAACTCCCTTCAAGAATGAGAAGAGTTCCGTTATCTAACTGGAATAAATTTCTCTTACTACTTTTCATCTCTTACAGGACGGCCATTTGGAATTTGATGCGACCAGTGGGCTTTAAAAAAAGTGGTCTGACTGGCGTGTCGTAGACGTTGCTCATTTTATCCGTTCTCAATGACGTCGTGTGCATCCCGAGATTTTATGGCGTCTCACTGTTTGTATCACAGCTCTACATCACAGACGGGAGCGCCCAATGTGCGAAGTACTGAGGCTAAAATTTTACTGATTGAGCAATTGTGGCTCTTTAGAGTCCCGAAGTCAGCCTAGCTGAAGCGTTCCTCAGGTCGTCGCCAACCTAAGCTCTCGCCGCCTTTGTGGATCAGAATGAGATTTGCCACTATGTGACTGGTTTGTTACCAGGATGATGGTGATTCCTGGTATTAGTTTACTCCTAGCATGTTTCCAGATGGAAATGTCGTGTTCTCATAGATGACCTGTACTCCTGCTAATCGCAAACTAATTTGGTAGAGGAACAGTAAAATCTCTAATCGCTCGTTCATGCCACTCAGTAACCTATTCTAGCTCAAAGGGATATTGAAAGCATCATACATTTAGTGGAATCCTTTTATTTTTACTATTATTGAGGTACTCGCGGAAAGCTGACCATTCTTTGTCGTACCATAGGATTACTCTAAGGTAGACTTCTTGATAGTTTGAATTCACTAGCGTTTGTGGTGTTTGGAGTTGAATGTGCCGTTGAACATCACAGTTCGACACTCAGAAGCATAACTCCTACTACATTGAAACGATACATTATTAACACATAACTATAATGTAACCACAAGTGTAATTACATTAGTTATATTACCATCAATATATAAGAGGGAACAATAAGTGGGAGAAATAAAGCTCACCATTTGTTGTCCTACATTGTCCTCTATCCATCGCATCAAGTGAACATTATATGGAACGTAAGGTTGTCGTAATAGATGCTCTTGAACTTCCAAGAATCGCTTGAGATCCTCTAACGTTATTCGGTCCTTGCTTGGCCTAAGTGAAAACATGTATTACTGGGTCACTGGCAATATTTATGAGAGCATATCATTTCTTTGAATACCTCGTCTTTTTGAGAGCAGCAATAATTCTCATAGCTTCTCGTATGTCGTCACTCATGTTAGCGAATCCTCTTCTGGCACCCCTAATTTTTCGGCCGAAATAGTGCAACTTGGTGAATGTCCGCTTGAGAGTTGATGAGCACAGATCTAATGATGCAGTGATCACCGCAAGACCGATGATCACATAAACCACAACCAACTGCAAAACGATCTTGGTCTTGTGAGAGTGCCAGAGTATGAACTCATTATATCAGACATCTAAATAATATGAACAATTAATGTTTTCTCAGCTGTTATCCACCAAAACACTACTGAATCTGGCTTACTAACTGACTTCTGTCCATGATTTTGGATTTGATGTGCCTAATGGTTTCGTAAATTTTGCTAATCATGTGTTTGAGTGTTAGCGTACGTACAGCATTATTATGTTAGCATTTCATATTTATGGCAATTGATTTAGAGAAAACTAATTTGTGTTCATAAAAGTAACAAGAAAATATGAATAAGAATTTCAGACATGAACTTACTGCTAAATAGAAGTGACTTCTCACGTATATGTTACCCAAGCCAATCGTTGTTATTGTGTTGAAGGAAAAAAAGAGACCATGTATGAAGGACCTTAAAAGAAATTTCACATCTAATGCTTTTCATTTATGCTGTTACATAAGTTTTGTTTAAAAAGTATGGGGTTAATATTTAGTGATTCCATCCGCTTTTCAGGCCCAGAAGCAATGGAAATTACTTGGATAGCCTGTCCTCATTTGCCTGTCCTGTCTCGGTTCCCCAGCATAATCTTTTTTTTAGGTTTTGCTGGTTTAGGCATTGTGGTTCCCTAGAGTCCCGAGGTCAGCCAGGCCGAATATGCCTTAGGTCGTCACCACCACAGGCAGTCGCCTCCTGTATGGATCAGAGGGAGATTTGCCACCATGCGACTAGTTTGGTACCAGGACCGTGACGGATCTTGGTATTGGTTTACTCTTAGCTGAGCTTCCTGATGGAAACGCTTACTCCTTCTCAGCTTAGGAGATCCTTGGGGGGGGGGGGGGAGGAGATGAATTCCCGCGCTGTATAATGCAGTCCGGCACTAAGGAACACCTCCCAGCCACGACAAGGCGGTAAACCGTTGGGAGAGCAATGAAAATTAGTATTTTACTTTCATATAATTTTTGAAATTTTAATCACTATTTTCGCATAACCCTAACACAAACGAAAACTGTTCAAAACAGCCAACATCTCTGATATGCCTATTTTAATGATTTCTTAATGAATAGGAAAACGTATATTATCGATGTGATCACTGTTCTTTCTCTGATATCCATTCTGTAGAATTTTAATCTGTGATTAAGCTTTGTCTACAGATACAGCTCTTTTTAGTATTTCTGCATGCGAGTAATGTATATGTTTATTCTGTTCAAATGTTGACAACGAGAACATACATGAAACAACTTACCATATGGGACCTTTCTCGAATGTATTAAATAGAAGACTTCCAATGCAACAATAACCTATGATCAGAGCAAAATATGACGCTATTGGCAATTGTAGGCGGTCCTCGTCGTCTTCTGACGTCTCTTCATCGGACTCTCGACGTTTTTTCTTCAGCTGTCTATATTGAAACAAGTAAGATAGAAATACTGTTCGAATTTCTATAAAATTACTCTGTCTTTACAATCCACCCCCTCCCTCCAAGCAGATAGATCCCTTCAGTACCTGTTTTTTTTCAATCTTGTTGAAATATAACGCTGATTGTAGCGACTGAGTTTAATGAACGAACTTCTGGATAAAAATTCCTACCAAAGAATGTGGTTTTTCATTACTCGTGGTATTTGAAACTTTTCATATCTAAATCTCATATAATTTTTTAAGTAGCAGCCTTCGTCATATCGAGGACGAGTGACTATAAAGTTAGGATGGAAAGATAAAGAAAGAAAACAAAAGAAAGCAATATGTAAGCCTATTGCAAAAAAACCGATAAAAATGAAACGTGCGTAAGTAAACGGAAATCGACGAGCTCATATTAGCACTAGAGAACTACAATGTTACAGCAAACCAAGAAAAAAGCAGAAGAATTCCACAAGCAATACGAAATAACACAAGAATGATCAGAAATACTAATAGCTTATCTAAAAACATCTCATCTTATCTTAACAGCATATCTAAAAATGAGCGCGTGTGGCGCAGTGGTCGGAGGCACCCTGCAATACACATGAGATCGATCCCCGCGCCGTGGGCTTACCAAGCTTTCCATTCCTCCGGGGTCGATAAATTGGTGTTAGACTTGTCTGGGAGCATAGTAGCATTGGCTCGATACATCGATAGGCCACCGTGAGTCATTGTAAAGGCCAGATATGCATTCATTCACCTCCAACGGTGCTTAATCAAGTCGAACGCATGACGCATCTCTAAAGGATTGACCAACGCCGAGAGCTCTATCCTTTTTTATCTAAAAACGAACGAGGTGGTAAACAAGCACGTGCCAACAAAGTTAAACCGACAACATAGCTCATTTATAAGGAGAACATCTCAAAAAGAAAAAACATTATGTAAATCTTTGCTCAAGTTAATCAACCAACCACGAAAAATAAGACAACAGACAAGGATGCGTATAAGCAGGAGCTCCCAAGTGTTTCTAAGAAACATTCAGAAACGGCGCCACAACAAGGACAATAACGATGGCCAAGTGGAATGACTGAAAGTGGTTAGGGAATGTATCAGCGGAGAATTCGAAATAAGAAAAGAAGTGAGAAGACCTTCATATTAAGAGGGCACACAAGGACATGCTAAAGTGTTGCTCACAATGCAAGAACACGGTCAAACAAAACAATTAAAGGTAACCCCGTTCTATTTCCACTGCGAAAAATCAGGATATGCGCCAAGAAAGAGTTAGAAGGTGCAAACTTGCGAATAAGTAATGGACATAACAAGGAATCGCAATTTGTGCTATAATAGTGGATTGACACTCCACCGGCCATTTGTTTGCAAAGAAGGGGTTTACCGGAAATATAACAGAGATGGACACCATACGTTCTACAGCAATCAAGATTCACTAGAATAACATCACCACCATTACTAGAAACGAATAAAAGTGAAATGCATACAAGTACCACTAAACTGAAAGCGAACAATAGAAATGAGAGAAGCTTTATGTCGAAAGGAATCAACCCAGTGGTCTCTCATGAGGCAGAAATGAAACACAGTGTGTCTGCGCATTATCAGCAATAATGGATTACTTGACACTGAGTGGCCCTTCCTCACTGCTCGTGAGGGCCCCAGAAAAATTTCCACTTTTCCGTGTGTTGCCGGCTTAGCTATTGTGGTTCCCTGGAGTCCCGAGGTTAACTTGGTCGAAGTCTGCCTTAGGTCGTCACCAACCTCCCATGTCGATCAGAAGGAGATTTACCACTATGCGACTAGTTTGATACCAGGATGGTGGTGGATTCTGGTGGGAGGATGAGTCCCCCTGTTGCACATCGCACCCCAACACCCAGGGAACACCTCTCATGCACTATGAGGCAGCAAACAGTTGAGAGGCAATAATTGATTGGCAAAAGTTAACCCTGAAAAACGGCCGGAGGAACCTCTAATAGTCTGAGAGACACCAGAGTAGACGATATGGAAAAGGATGTGAGACCGTTGTGAAGAGCCTTCAGAAAGACGGACAAACCATGAACAACACGGGTCTGACCATGAAAGATGCCGTATTCAACAAATAAACCGAACACATTGAACAGCTATACTTCAGCAACACGATGAAACCATACGAAATAGACAATCTAGGAAACCGTCGAAGAAATAAATGACTTAAACCTTGCTAAAGGATCAACCAGACATAATACCAGTCTAATATTGTAGAAGAGGAGGCGGCTAACTAACGCAACGTTAGTGATGCTGTTCATGATGAGAACGCTGGTGGGTCGACTCCTCGTTGGTCTCAACAAGCTTCTCATCCTATGGGGACGGGAAATTGGTAACAGACTTGTCTGCAAATAGTTCACTTCCTGCAAATTAACTAGGAAAGAAAGCTCTGGCTCGACTGTTTCTAGAATTCAAAGAGAATCGATTCATCCATGACTCAGTGATATTGGTGAAGACGTCGAAAATTTTCACACAGCAACCAAGGCTGCACGAAAAAAGTTCGAAAACCTACGTAGACAATGGATGCAATGAAACAAATCAAAGGCAAGAATTTTTGGGGTCCGCAGAGTAGATGTGGTGACATGGGAAACAAAACAAATAAGCAGATATTATAGGAAATATATTCATTTACAATAAGCCTTCTTCTAGAAAACTAGCTGTAAACAAGGTAGGGTCTCGAAAACGTATATCAAAGGATTACCGGTAATATTTTTGAAGAAAAAACATTAAATCGGTGTCAACCATTTTCATCACAAGCAGTCTATCGGTATAAATTCATTAATGGAAACTTACAAAGAGTCTACTGAATCGATCTCGCCGTCAAACATGTTCGTGCGAAGCAACTCCACAGTTGAAGCAATAAAGTGCCAGAATTCCAGTAATTTTGCATAAGACCTTAAAATATGAAGGCGAGAAAAATCTTTAAATGAAATAAAAGTATTATGAGTATTATGTGCCATTGACAGAAATATGGTGTTGCTTCCTTCACTCTAAGCGGTGACGATATTAACATCGACTTCCTTACTGTTTTGGTTAGACACTCATTGAGGACCTCGATTATTACTTTATCTCCGGTGCATTGTGTTGTGTAACATTTCTAACCACTTTCTGAAGAATTTGAGTTAAAAAATATGCAACAAATTTCCAACAAATGTTGTTGGTGAGACCAAAGCTATAGCCATGGAAGCAAGAGCATTCATGTATGTGTTCTGCTGGAGAGTTCGGATTATCGTTTCGCTGCAAATCTACTATTATTTGGCTGTAGATATTCGAGCAATTCAGCAATTTGTTTTTCCGTCTTGTTTGCTCAACTAAAAAATGAATTACAAAGCGTATTTTCCTAGTGAACTTGGGCTTGTCTCACGAAAATTACAGGATCTCATAATTGGAGAATTTCTGAAAGAAATTCGCAGCCACTTGAATGGAATCATTGGGTACTTGTCCAGTGTGGTTGACAAGGTAAAATACATCACCACATATTCTTGATGAATGTTTAGCGAATATAACAGACTTTCATGATACCTAGTTATCAGTTGATCCAACAGAAATGTGGGTGCTTTCATTATGGTGCTTCGGAACAGTGGAGAAATTTCATGGTTTCTCTAGTGACTAGAAATGCGAATTCATAGTTTCCTGTAGGGATTGTGATGGAAATAAATGACGACTTCCTAATTCACGGCGTGCTTTCGAGTTGATTGCACAGATATGCGTTTGCGTGGGAAAAATTCAAATCATGAAGTAGTCGTACCCCATTCTTTTGGAGGTAACCGCCTAAAAAAATGCCGTTTCTCTTCATAGGACCGCAGTCGTCTTTAAAAACACACATGGATTTCAATTCTAACCAGATTAATATAACGCTGCCTAACTCAGTAGAGTGGAACATGCTCTTTGGGTGCCTTGAATTACCGGTCGAGAACATATTCTGAATGGCTGTTCTGACCGTTTTAGAAATAGCCAAAGACGTCGCGCATTAGGGCCGGCTTACTGCTCACTGTGAGATATTGCTGAATGAATTTTACATCTACCACAAGTATACAGGAGTAACAGGTTGATCAATGAACGTAGCAGTCTTACCACTCACCTAATTACTATTTCTGATAGAAATTTTCCTATGTCCGCTGCTGTTATGAACATAAGTGGAATGCCAATGAGACCGAAAAACACGGTAAAAATTCTACCGGGATCCGTAGTCGGAGTAACATGATCGTAACCTGTAAGCGAATATTATATTTTCTCATATATTTCAAAGGCCGACTTTCGTTTAAGCATTCCATGCCCAATCAACATTCATTCTTTCAATGATGAGCTAACACAAGGTTGACCAAGAAAAAAAAACTACTCGATCAGCGTCTTAACGTCTTCATCTTCTTTAGGATCGAATTAATCCGAAAAGCAGATGAAAACGCCGAAAGGTTAGTCGAATAAAGTTTTTTATCTGTTCATATAATTGTCCCACTGTATGTTGCAGCTATATATCAATTAACCTAACAATAATTGCATGAGGTAAGAAAGCATAGAATTCGCATGCAAGGTAACAATGAAGCTTCCGTTTACATGCATGACATTACGATTCTTCTTATTGTAAAAATATCTGCCATATCAATCAAAATGTCTCAAAAATCACTCTTTGTAGCTTTCAGACATATATAATGAACTAACTGAGAGGTGAAACGAAGGACCCGCATGGTGTGGTGAGCGCGTTACTACCCGGAAAAGACAATACCACGTTCGACAATAGCGCAGACACCTGTGGTTCGCTGTTTTTCAAATATTTCAGCATCACTGCGATTGTTTCACAAATAATATCCCGCTGTGAAAACTAGTAAAAAGGCAGTAAACAGAAAGTCAACATTGTGAATTACATCTATAGCCTCAGCTTAACTGGATTTGGGCTCTCCAGATCAATCCCGTTGACGGGTGATTTCTGATAGCAGTGATCGATAAAACTTGCATTCTGTGTGACGTAGAGCTTTGACTCCTAGAAATTCTACAACCCTACGTATCGCACTTGTGGTGAGGTCTCGTATTAGAACAGGATTGATCTCTTTCGGTTAGTCAGTGCACCCTGAGGACGACGATGTTTACAGTAAATCTTCTGGATTTCTTGAAAATTTTTCGCTGCCATTGTGATTTCATAGGAATTGAACAAATTGTAATCGCTTTCTCCACTTGTCGAATACGAAAAGTCGCATCAAGTTTTTAACGCAAACCTTGCTCTGGTAGGGTTCCGGCCGTTCAACCATGTCTAACCTTGCAATTGAAAGTCGCTGACTCGACAGAATCCGTTTTTATTCGTTCACCACAATTTGGTCGATAAGGTAATCGTTTTGTTCACAAAACAAGTACAAAGGACCTTATAAAGACTGGGTCGTTAGTATTCATTACATTCATGGGAGAAACATTTGCTTAGCTTTTTTTCTTTTTTACATTACCCAAATCAGCTAAAATATACTGAAACTTTTGCCTCATTTATGTCTTGGTTTTTCTGAATCTCTTAAATCAACTTATATAAATTTGCCGTAATTAACTTTCCAAATGATGATCATTGATGGATGAGTGTCATGCGCAACTTGTCTTTAACGTTTTCTCTGACACGGACCTATTGAAAGCAAGTTTTATTGTATAAACCTTAACACTTATCTGGTTAAATGCAACCTTAACGTTGCAAACGGTTCTAGAGGTTAGTGTCGGCGTTAGAATATGCACAAAAATTGCTCAACTGTGTTTTTTTTCAGTTTTTATGTCAAAATTGATTGAATGTGACGCAATTTAACATAAAAACAAGAGCATTGGCAATAAAAATGGGGTCGGCTTTTAAAAATGGAGTGCAAAAAGAACAAAAGGGCACGGAACCTTATTTGAAAACGCGGCGTCATACTTCGAAGGTAGGGGATAGAATTGATCTCCTCAAATAATTTAGTGCTCCCAACCTTAAAGAAAGCTTCGATAGTATCCTTTAACGACTGGTGTGGGCCTGAACACGTTTCATACTTTTGCGACCGTTGTCCATTACCGTTTTCCGTCTAATGCACGGTGCACGATATCGCCCACCACTACCATTCCGTAGTTCAAAAATCGTTTCCAGCTGCAACTGCTGCTTCAATAAACTACAGAAACTTCCAGGCAATTTGTAGCTATTGGTCAACACTCTTGACGTCGAAACATTTTTCTGACTACTGAACTGCGTAATCCAATTTTATGCTGCGTACATCGGTCTTGTTGCAGGCGTTCAGACGCTGTATGAGCGGTATTTGATTCGAAACGTTTAAGATGCCATGCCAGGTTTCAGCTGTAGAAGGATCGAGCTAAAAAAGACTTCTCATGTGCCGGTCGATCAGTGTTCTCTTTATGTGATCCAAACACCGCAAAAGTTCCTCGACACTTTTCTGCAGAAGTCCTTCTTAATGTAGCTTACATATTAACTGAACGGCCAAGGTATACGTAAGCTGTAGTGTCCGCTGTAAAAGAACCATAGCTCTAATTTCTTTTTGTCCAATATGAGCTTTCAGTGAATTAGGTTGCTTCGGATTAATTCGCAGTTCCATTTTTTCGGTGCTTCGCCGGGCTGTCTGAGCACAGGTGCTGGTATGTGGAAAGATGCCGATGTTACCCTCAAAGTAGAATGTTATATCCATGCGAACGTCCTTGAATTCCCAATTAGAACAATTTATTACCTTTTGCAAAACCCGACGCTGTACAGCTTTGCTTTCGCGCCATTGGATTCATTTTACCTCGAGTATAGTGAAGGGTGATTGAATGATTATAATGTCGTATGCACACTTACTACATCATTCGCATAGTGAAACCTAAGAAGGCGTTTGTTTCAAGACTGTTGTACCTGTTTTCTTAATCGACAAAGGTTGGGACATTAGGAGGATGGAAAGGTGGTTGTTTTCGATGGAACCGATAGAGATGATAGGATAATGTTCTCAGTCTTAATCAATCGCTTAAGGACCGGCCATGCTTTTGACTTCGTCAAGCATCGTTAAAGGTAAATCCATGCACGTCTGGGCTATTCTACGAGTTGAGGTGGCCTACCAATAAATCAAGTCAGTGCTGCAATTGTTCCAGACTGGTTTGGTACCAATTTGTCCATCCCCAGAGATGGAAAGCCTGGTGTGCCTAGGGCACCGGACCTAAGCAATGATCATGTGTGCATTATTGGGCACCTCTAATGACTGCTCTACGCGACCTCAACGAGACCAATGTAACGAAACACTTGGCGGTGTCTTGTTTTTTCAATTGGGTGGACTTAATCTAACCTTTCAATACATGCTAATTGAAAGATATAACGGAATATACTCAGAGAAGAATTTAATTCAGGCTGGTTTCAGTGTGGCTTTGGCGAATGATAGGAGGTTGTGTAAGGGGAAACCTTGGAGTATGACTTTGCTGCTGTCAGTTCCGTGATAGGGCCTGAAGTGGTGGAAAACTCACGTTTATTCATGAGATTGGTAACGTAACGTACTATTATAGGTGCTGGTGGTGTTTCATTACGCCTGCAAAGCTCCTTTCGATAGTTTTTCAAGGCTACATTGTTGTAAATTTTCCTGCATGCGTCTTCTGCAACTGGTACATATTGGCGGTTGGAAGTAGCTTCAATTATCATTTCCTTTCAAGTAGTTTTTTGGCGAAGGTAGAGATGAGATCTATTTTCTATTTGAAGAATGCTTTACATATATTTCAAGTTCGTGGAAGCAATCCGTCGTAAATTCCACTTGCTTGGTGATAATCCGCCAGTTTTTGTTATAGACGAGTTGTAGTGTTCTTCTCGTGCGATGACAGTTCTTTTCCAGCTATTGAATGATTAGAATCTCCGCACAGAGGAGGCGGCTGTCAGGCTAATTGAGACAAATGTTAGTACGAACATGTCAGGGGGCGAAATCTTCCCTGCGCCAAGATTTCATCGATCTCCATGCCAGTTGCGCCATTTGGTGATTCCTATGTCTAGCTGCGAGCTTATCTCTGACACGTACACGATACGATTTCCATTTATATTTCTTAGACGCACTCTACCAAATTTTCTAATTTTTGACTTCACTAACTCTAGTTCTCTTTTCTTCAGCTCTAAAGTCGTCTACAACGAATTTATAAAAGCCCTTCCTTTTTTGGTGATTTCATACAACTGGTTATAGAAAACATTCAGCTGGCTCATCTCTTGCACACGTGCCTTAGTAGCAGTTGTGATAGTGATATTTAACTGAAGAGGAGCTTGTAGACGGGAGTTAGCTAGGTGAGGTGCTAGGAGTTCGCCATTGATAAACATATTTAGTATCGGATGGATGTGTGACAAGATCTATACCTATCCCATCATGCAACGGTAGGTGATAGGACCTTCTCTTGCAGTCACATCAGTTTCCTTACTTGCTGTTCGTTTACTATCACGTAAAACCAGAGATTATCTGCAGCTTTTAGATTCTTGTGGAAACTACTTTGGTGATGTAGACCCTCTCCATGCTGAGTAGTAGTGCACGACTTGTTTTAGAAATGGTACCAATAACAAGTACCGGTAATAAAGATTTGGTTCTTAGTTGTCTCACCGTTAGACGTCTTAGATGTATGCTCACAATATTCTGAGCTTGACATGGATGACTTTGGAAGGACATGAAACTCTTATTATAAATCGCCGGCCAAACTTTTAATAGAGGTCGTCCAAGCGAAAAATTTAATTTAAATGTCATCTATTATGGAAAAGCAATCTATAAGAATCCTCAATGTGATACTGGAATGAGTGAAAGCGTAGTAAATACTTTCAGTATTAAAAAGTTGGGAATCTCCTCCAAAAGCTTGATTTTCGAGCTCAGTATTTGCGTGGACGACAATCGACTACAACAACAACAAAAAAACCACAACTGTCACTGTCAATGAAGAACTGCGTGCCTATCACATCTGCTACAGTAATATAAAGGTGGATGTGCTTTTAAAGTTCTTAATCTTGATTAAAAAGAGCGCGTGTGGCGCAGTGGGTCGGAAGCAGCCTGCAACACACACGTGGAATCGATCTCCGTGCACATTGCCCACCAAGCCTTCCATCCCTGCGGGGTCGGAAAATTGGTACCAGACTTGTCTGAGAGGAGAGCAACACTGGCTCGATAGATCGGTAGGCCACAGCAAGTTATTGTAAAGGTCAGATA